AAGGGGGTAAACAGGGGGGGGGGGGGGGAACAGAGTGCGACTGGGGATACAGCAGCAGAGGGGCAAGGGGCACTGTTGGACCTGCGCAAGACACGGCCGTGTCCCCCACCCCCCACCTCAGCTCGCACTGTGCCTGCTCCCATTTCAAATGGGAATCCAGGACACTAAAAACATCCTGACCTGTTGTGGTCTTAGATCCTGGCCAAAAAAAAAAATGCTCTAGTATTTTTCTGTAGTAAAAAAACAAAGAACAAATGTGAGAGGGGTAAGAGCTGGCATTTTCTGAGGGGAGTTTCAAGTGTAATGTGGTGTGCCTTACAGATCCAGCGATGGCTCTCATCCTTTTTAAAGGCAGTAGTGCTCAATCTTTTGCCCTACTCGCTGCGTCGGCAGCACCCTGCCCCGCTGGCAGGATCTGGGCTGTGGGCAGCCTGGTCAGGTGAACAAAGCAGGGGCAGTGCCTGATCTGGCCCTGTGGAGATAGGGCTGGGGGGGCATCCCAGCCTGGCATGGTGTGTAGACTCCTGGTGGCCCCAGGTGAACTTTTAGTATCAGCTCCCCTTTGCCAAGGATAATGATAATAATTAAAAAATTACTATTTTTGGGCCCCCTTTCTGCCTGGGCCTTGGGTGGCTGCCCGGTTCACCCATGCCTGTGTCTGGCCCTGTCCCTGCCCCATCCAGCTGTGTTGGGGAAGGCAGTGTGTGGGCCCTGCTCCGAGCTGGCCACAGCAGACACGGAGTCTAGAAGCATAGCCACGGAGCAGGACCAGCGCTAGCTATTGCCACCACTCCCCTCCGGCAGCAAGTTAGTCCAGTGCAGGTGGGGGGCATGTGAACCCCTGAGAGCACTGGTGTGCCCCTTGACCAGCTGTGCTTGCGGCTTGGGTGATGTGGGGCAGGTGTAAGCATCGGTGCCCCCCCTGCAAGTGCCAACTGGGAACCTCTCCTGGTCGCTGGGGGGGCACGTGCCCCCCTGGCAAAGGTGGCACCAGTCGCCTATGAGTTAGTCTCCTGTGCAGACGACAGCAAATGTACTGCGCAGCGCATTAGCCCACGGTGCAGCAAGGTGCACGTGTAGATGCACCCACAGTGCCTGAACACATGCCCCTGGCTCCAGCGGCGGGGCGGAGCGGAGCCCCCTCCACCCCTAGGGCCCGGAGCGCCGCGCTGCGGTTGCTTTGAGCCGGGCGGGGGCTGGACCTTGCGGCGCCCCCGGCCG